AAAAAAAAAAAAAAAGTGACTAGAGCTGGGCATTGGTGGTCACACCTGTAATTCTAGCTACTCAGGAAGCTGAGATCTGAAGATCCTGATTGGAAGCCAGCCTGGGCAGGAAAGTCCAAGGCTTTATTTCCTAAATAAAACAGCAAAAAGCCAGAAGTGGAGGTGTGGTTCAAGTGGCAGAGTGCCAGCTTTGAGAAAAAACAAACATACACACACACAAAAAAAAAACAGCAAAAAGCCAGAAGTGGAGGTGTGGTTCAAGTGGCAGAGTGCCAGCTTTGAGAAAAAACAAACATACACACACACACAAAAAAACCCTAAGGGATAGTGCCCTTAGTTCAAGCCCTAAAACTAGCACAAAAAAAGGCTAAAATATGACAGAAAATTTTAAGGATGAATTCATCTTTACCAAAAACCAAGATTTCCCTTTCTCCCAATTCATATTTTTAATGTAAAACTGAATGAAGCCTTACATTCTTTGGCCCACCCAGCTCCATCTGTCCCCTCCCCTCCACACACACGCATTCATTATACACTCTATTTCACGGCATAGCCATAGATGTGGGGCCGCACCAGTGCCCAGGACAGTGGGGCCTGGACATGTTGCAGTTTCAGCTTAGAGAAGCCGGCGCGCTCCAGGGTCTTCCAGCTCTCTCTGGTCAGTTTGCACCCATCAAACAGAAGGAACCAGGCAGGATCCAGGACCTGTTGCCAGAAGTAATTCCAAGTAGAACGTTCATCTGCCACATGTTCCATGAAACAAAAGGCTCCTCCCTGAGAAAGAAAGCAAAAACATTTCAAGGGCACTGATTTTAGGAAAACAGTTTTATAAAACAAGCATAGCTTACTTCGCTTAATATAATTTCTTCCAAGTCTTTCCTGATGAATGGGACAATATTCTTTCTCATGTAAGCACAGAATTCCATTGTGTATGTATACTACATTTTCTCGATCCATTCATCCAGTGAGGGGCATCTGGCTATGGTAAAATAATACTGCCATGAACATAGTTGTTCCGGAGCTTTAGTGTGGCCTGGTTTGAGGTCAATTGGATAAATTATATGAAGCAAAGTAAGCCAGACCCAAACAAACATAGGTTGCATGCTTTCCCTCATTTGTAGTAATTAGAATGTACGTATAAATCTACAAGTAAACACAATGGATGGTAAAAGACAAAAAAATACACTTGGACATGATAAATTAAATAAGAATTTACACATTCACTCAGTGAGACCAAAGGAGGATCTACTTAAGAGAGGATCACAAGGCTCAGTAGCTATGTGTATATGGTCATGTAAAAATATGCTTATCAAAATGAACTAAACAAATGGAAATGAGGTTTTCTTGTTATTTTACTTTTTGGTGTTTTTTTTTCTCCTCTTTGTTGCTATTTTTGACTTCTTTTTATCTTCTATGTTTTTATCTATTTGCAGTGAGGGGAGGGTACAGGGGAGCACAGAAATGGAAGGAAAAAGGATGAACTAATGCAGCAGTGATACTCACTAGACACTATGTTGAAAATGAACTACATAACTTATGGGGAAAAGGGATTAGAAGGGGAAAAACTGGGAGAAATGAGGGAAGAGATGACACTGTTCAAAAAGAAATGTACTCATTACCTGGCTTACATAACGGTAACCCCTCCATACATCACCTTTACAATAAAAATAAAATTAAAAAAAAATAAAATGAGCATAGCTTCTGATCTGATATGGCCTCCTAGGACAACCTGATTAGAAGTCATGAGTAAATTAAAGCTTAGAAAGACATTGTTTTGGTCAGCCGTTTTAGGTTCAGTGAAGTTTTTTGTTTATTTTTGTGTGGGTCCTAGGGTTTGAACTCAGGGGTTGGGTGCTGTCCCTGAGCTTCTTTAGCTCAAGGCGAGGGCTCTACCACTTGAGCCTCAGCTCTACTTCTGGCTTTTGATAATTTATTGAAGAGTCTCATGGACTTTCTTGCCTGGCTGGCTTTGAACTAAAATCCTCAGATCTCAGCTAGGATTATAGGCATGAGCCACTGGGAGACGCTGTTGTGTCACATTTTATCCACATATTACGTCACATCTTATCCGGAGCTCGCTGGGCATGGTGGGATGGCTTATGGTAATTTATTGAAGAGTTCCATGGAGCTCGCTGGGCATGGTGGCATGTCTGTGATCTGAGGGCTCTGGACATGCTGGCCCAGCATTGAAAGGCATCTCATGTTTTTTTGTGGCATGCCACCACCATTTCCTGTCCTGCCAGCGAGCAGGACATTTGGTATGCACGTGACTTTGTATTGTTTCCCTAAATCTGAATTGTACTATATAGTAAAATCTGGACTAGACTATATAGTGTTTTGTAACCTTTTTGTTATTTAAGTATTTGAATATTATTCTAAACATGACTTAAATTTTACACAATATTCCATACCACTGAAGATAATGTTGGTTATTCTCATTCAGGGCCTGTCCATTTTTAACCATCATAAATACTGTTACAGTGAACATTCTTTGGTTTGTTTTGGCAGTACTGGGGTCTGAACTTACACTTGCTAGGCAGCTACTCTACCAGGTGAGCCATTATACATCAGTCTTGGTGATCATCTGTAATTATTGCTGAACAATTAATTTGCTGAGCAGTGGAATTGCTGAGTCACTGACCTGGGTCTTTTTCAAAGGGTTGGAGTAAGTTTTTGAATTGACCTTTGGAAAAAATTGCATCACATTTAGACTCAAAGTAGCAACTGATTTTTCCAGTAAACCCTCATCCATAGTGGCTTTTTTTTACCTTTTTCCTATCTTTACCAAAGCGATGATATTTATCTTTAAAAATATGTATATATTTAAATATGTATATATTTAATATCCTTAATTGGGCAAAATCGGTGGGGGTGGGGATGGTGTGTGTGTGTGTGTGTGTGTGTGATGGGGCTTGAACTCAGGACCTGGGTACTGTCCCTGAATATTTTTGCACAAAGCTAGTGCTCTACCACTTGAGCCACAGCTCCACTTCCAGCTTTTTGGTGATTAAATTGGAGACAAGAGTTTTATGGACTTTCCCATCTGGGCTGGCTTTACTCCCAATCCTTCTATCTCAACCTCCTGATTACAGCTGTGTACCACTACACCTGGTTGAGAATCAGTCTGTCTTGCTACTTTGAGGCAAAGACCAGGATCATATTTTGCTTATGACTCCTATCTTAAATACTTTTCTCTTGAGGATCTACCAGAAAATAAAGTGGAGGTAGAGTAAACAAATGCAGTCATTATATTCAGTGTACATTATGTAAAAATTGAACTATATAAATTGAGAGTAGAAGTGGGAGGCAGAAAAAGGAGAGAGTATGATAAGGGGTGGCATAGATCATACTTATAACCTGACTTATGGAATTGTAACCTCTTGGTATTTAATAAACTTTTTAAAAACTTTTAAGAAAAGAAAATGGATCATAGAACATTTTCCTAGAATTGTAAGTTGAAGTGTTAGGACATGCATACTTCATGATCAGCTCTGTTTAGAACAAAACCATTTTAATCTAGTAGGTTTTTGTATGTGTATGCCATTCCCGGGCTTGAAGTTAAGAGCTGGGTTCTGTTCTTGAGATTTTTTTTTTTTTTTCCCAAGGTTGGCACTGTATCACTTGAGCTATAGTTCTCCTTCTGGCTTCTTGGTGGTTAATTGGAGGAAAGAATGTCTAGGGCTGGGAATGTGGCTTAGTGATTGCTTGCCTAGTATGCATGAAGCCCTGGGTTCCATTCTCTTTTTTTTAATATGTTTTTATTGTGAAAATACTGTACAGAGGGGTTAAGTTACATGAGCAAGGTAATGAGTACATTTCTTATCAAGTATTGTTACCTCCTCCTTTGTTTCCCCTACCATCCCTTCCCTCCCACCTCCACAACACTCTATACTCCCCGACCCCAACACCTACATTGTAAAGTTCATTGTTCAACAGTGTCTTGTACATCTCATTGTTACCAAGGGTCAACCTGTATCCCTATTTAAACATTTTGTTTTTCCCTTCCCCTCCCCAAATTATACCAACATCAAATACAGTGAAAACAGGGTGGGTTCGATTCCTTAGCACCACATACACAAAAAAAGCAGGAAGTAGTGCTGTGGCTCAAGTGGAAGAGTGCTAGCCTTGAACAAAGAGAAGCTCAGACAGTGCTCAGGCTGAGTTCAAGCCCCAGGGCTGGCAAAAAAGAAAGGAGGAGGAGGAGGAAGAGGAGGAGGAGGAGGAGGAGGAAAAAGAAGAAGAATATCATAGACTTTCCTATCTGGGATTGGCTTTGAACCTTGATCCTCAGATCTCAGCTTCCTGAGTAGCTAGGATTGTAGGCATGAGCTACTAGCATGTAGCTAATGTTTTATGTGTTTTTAAGATAACAAAGGTAATAAAAAGTAATCAGAGTTTTGTTTTTTTATGTCGGTTGTAGGGCATAAACTTGTTCGCCTGGCACTATCCCTGAGCTCTTTTGCTCAAGGCTAGCACTCTATCAGAGCTCTGCTTTTGGTTTTCTGGTGGTTAATTGGAGATAAGAGCCTCACAGATTTTCTTGCCCTGGCTGGCTTTAAACAGTTATCCTCAGATCTCAAGCTCCTTAGTAGCTAGGACTACAAGGTATGAGTCACCAGGGCCTAGAGAAGAGTTTTAAGTATAAAGAATTTCAGACTTGGGGCTGGGAAGGTGGCTCAGTGGTAGAGCGCTTGCCTTGCATGCCTGAGGCCCTGGGTTCGATTCCTCAGCACCACATAAGCAAAAAGAAAAAAGCCGGAAGTGGTGCTGTGGCTCAAGTGGTAGAGCACTAGCCTTGAGCTGAAGAGCTGAGGGACAGCACCCAGGCCCAGAGTTCAGGCCCCACGACTGGACCCCCCCCCAAAAAAAAGCCAGAACTAAGTGGTGCTGTGGCTCAAGTGGTAGAGTGCTAGCATTGAGCAAAAGAAGCTCAGGGACAGTGCCCGAGCCGAGTTCAAGCCCTAGGACTGGCAAAAAAACAAAAACTCATACCTGTAAGCCTAGCTACTTGGAAAACAGGCCTGGAGGACAGAAAAATTTGCAAGATTTCATCTCCAATTAACAAAAAGCCAGACTGGAGGTATGGCTCAAGTGTTAAGAGTTCCAGCTGTGAGCAAGAAAGTTGAGAGATGGAGGCCCCTAGCCCATGACCCAGTACTAGCAAAAAAAAAAAAAAAAAAGCAAGCCAGCAATGAGATGTTTAAATAAACAACACACATTTAAATATTTACAAAGATAAATGATTCTATGCTTAACCCATCTGACCAAATATTTTAAATGGGAGGAAACTACAGTCTGGTGCCTCAAGTCCCACCGCTGCATATTCTGCAAGCCAAGCCCTCTTCCACAAGCCACTCATCCCTCGTTGACATCCACACAGTGCACTTGTGCTATTTCCAAAATCGCTCTTTCTCTTAAGAATGCACGTATCTTCTCTGATTAGCTGCCACTTCTCTAAAACATCTCCTAAGTTATCTTCTCAAAAAAAAAAAAAAAAAAAAAGCCAGGGGCCAGTGGCTCACACCTGTAATCCTAGCTATTTAGGAAGCTGAGATCTGAGGATCACAGCTCAAAGCCAGCCCAAGCAGGAAAAGTGAATGAGACTCTTATCTCCAATAAACCACCAGAAAACTGGAAGTGGCGCCGTGGCTCAAGTGGTAGAGTGCTTGCCTTGAGCTGAAGAGCTGAGGGACAGTGTCCAGGTCCAGAGTTCAAGCCACATGGCTGACCAAAAAAAAAAAAAAACAACTCTGAATTCACAGTGTGCCTTTTAG